CATCTCCGCGTCTATTTGTACCAGAAAAAGAACTTACCACTAAAACCAGCAGGCTTTTTCATACCAGCAATTCAATGAATCTCCAACTCTGGGTAGAACTCAACAAAAGATGGAACAGCTATATTCCTGTCAGACAGCTAGGTGGCAAATGCCACTGTTGAGATCTATAGCACATAGTAACATTTACCAAAACATCCCCTGCCTGCTAATACCTGCATGGATTGTTTGGTTCACAAGTCACATGGTTGACAGAATTTGAAAGTGGGGGGGGGGATATGTTAGGACTCCAAGTTTTCTAGAATTAGACCTTCCTGATGCTCTGGGCAGCTCTAGTCTCCAAACAAGATACAGACAGCAACTAAATCTATCTAATCACCCGTATCATTCTGAAATCTCCTACTCAGTTAAGTAAATGTAATGCCAAACTGCACTCATTTACATTGCAGGAGTAGAAACAAGAATAGCATGCTTTGTTTACTTTCTGAAATGGGGGAGGGGGGAAAGGAAGGAAATTTGCATATGCAAAACTAGCTCTAGACCTTTCCCTAGACAGAAGGCAATCTGTTTTGATGGGTTAAAAACACATAAGCAATTAAATAGGCTAGTTCAGTGGTTCTCAACCTGTGGGTCGGGACCCCATTTGGGGTCAAACGACCATTTCACGGGGGTCACCAAAGAAGGCTGTCCGCCATTTTTTCCCCCTTTTCTTTGGCCACGCCCCTGGTTGGGGGTCATCACAACATGGGGAACTCTATTATGGGGTCGCGGCATTAGAAAGGTTGAGAACCACTGGGCTAGTTGCTTCTCTCTCAGGTAGCACACAAACGGATTATATGCACACAAGTGCATGTGCACATACGTGCACACACACACTCTTTTATCCTACCATGTATTTCCTTGCAGTTATCTTTTCAAAATAACTGTGTGAATTGAGTTACTGATTGGTGCAAGGTCACTCTGGGATCTTTATGGCCTGAACCTCTTTCTCTCCTCTCAAGAGTACCAATTACCTTAGCAAAAATCACTTCCGAGATTCTCAACAATTCTGTAGGGCAAAGGCAGAAATGCCAGAAGCTGAAGGACAATTTGCATTTTTAGACTGCAGCAAGTCAAACTGCCATAAGTTAAAAGCACTGATGATGTTACCTAGTTTGGGTAATGAAACACCTGCAAGAAAACAATCAAGTTCAAAGAGCACCAAGGACCCCCCCCATTTCAACCCTCAACTACAAATATTCTCCTTTATTGGTAGCAGGGAACAAAGAATACCCAAACTTTTGCTGCCATTTTCCTAGATGCAGCTCCCCTCTTTTTTACTTGTGGTAAAATGATAGTATCAGTCACTAACACAGCCATACTTTACTGCAGTGGTTCTCAACCTGTGGCCCTGGGGGGGGGTCACAATGTTGTCATAGGGGAGTCTGAGAAGGCTTGAAGAAATGTTATGATTTAAATCTTGAGTTAAGACTTGAGGGTCTGTGGCCACAAAAGGTATTTAAAAGGAGCCCACGGTGAAGAAAAGGTTGAGAACCACTGTTTTACTGAATTTATTTTGAACAGGAAATGGGAGAATAGAGAACACCCTATGTTACTTTCCTGGCTGGTGCTGATTGCTCCCTGGAGTACATGAAGAACAAGATTCTGGGGAACGATAGTCATCAAGTCCTACCTGTTCCATTTAGCTCAGTGGTTCTCAACCTGTGGGTCGGGACCCCATTTGGGGTCGAACGAACATTTCACGGGGGTCGCCAAACAACGCAGTCCGCCATTTTTTCCCCCTTTTCCTTAGCTGTGCTACTCCCTTTTATTCTATTGGCTTTTGAAAGCCAATAGAATAGACTCTCTTGAATAGAGTCTAATTCTATTGGCTTTCAAAAGCCAATAGGAATTGTCCAGGCTGTCTCTGCCTGCTGAGCCCGCCAAAAGTCCCATTCTGCAAACGGTGCTGCACCAGTTGAGTAGTCCTCGACTTACGACCGGTTTAGTAGTCCTTGACTTACGACTGGTTGGGGGGTCACGGCATTAAAAAGGTTGAGAACCACTGATTTAGCTGGTCTGCGAGAGGACAGCAAGGCTGCTCGAACGTATAGGGCAGGGGTCTTCAAACTTGGCCCTTTTATGACTTGTGGACTGACTGAGGAATTCTGGGAGTTGAAGTCCACAAGTCATAAAAGGGCCAAGTTTGAAGACCCCTGGTATAGAGGCATCACTACATGTATCTTCAAGGCCTAAGACAAATGGTCCTTGATTTACGACTGTAATGAAGCCTGAAATTTCTGTCATAAGTCATGATACGACTTCTGTCATAAGTTGAGGCCTCCATGGGACCAGACCTTATTTTACAACTTTTTTATGGTAGTCATTAAGCAATTGCGATGTTAAGTGAATCCATATATTCCTATGGGATTTTTTTTTAATTTTTTTTTTGGTACAAGCTGCCCCTAAAGTCTGGAAACTGGCAAAGATGTCATAAATCATGATTATGTGATGTGGTCTGTTACAACTGACTAGTAAGCCAATTGCCAAGTGCCCAAAATGCAGTCATCTGACACTGGGTTGAAAAGCTATAGCAGTCAATGGGAAACACTCTTATTTGATATGATAATGCCCTTGAAAGTAGACAGGATTAGGCCAGACGGTGAAGCAAACTGATTTGGGTTCATTATTTCACACTCCTAAAGCTTTCATTTTGTCACAAAAAGCAAAGAAAACATAAGAGTTGAATAAATATCTATGTTACCATCTTAGCACTCTTTACAGGGCGGTGAGCAACACAGCAATTGGATCAACATAACCTCACCTTCTAGCTTCAATATTGAGCAGAGACTCAAATCTTTCTCTGCATAACTAACTGCCTTTTCTCTTTCATCCTGTTTCTACCTCTATAGGGTGCAAGTATTTTGCTATGGGCCAGTTTGTAAATGAACAGACCTAAGGAGAAAACAGCACATTTTTTTAAATACGCTTCTCCCAACTTAAAAATGTGCACTAAGAGATATGTGGGTCAACACAGACAATTCATAGGATAGCATTTTTGTAAAAATGCAAATATTACTTCCTCAGGCTTTTCCTGTCTGTCCCCCAACTAGTCAACCAAGGACCCGAAACATCAACGCGAGAGTTAACGAAGAAAGCCACTAGCCTGTTTTTTGTTTTTCTGAGGCTGTTGCTTGTTTTCTGGATCACCTGTGCTGGGGCAGCATTTGGAGGCTGTGACAGTTGTGTTGCTATGGTGATGACTCTTCCCTATCGGATGGCAAAAATAAAATGAAAAAAAAAAAAAGAATCCACCGAAAGCTAATCACACTGCAGCAAAAAAATACGATGACAAAGGTTCCAATATTTACACCTAGTTCCATTCATGTCAAATTGGTGTTTTTACAGGAAAATTTCCTAGTGGACTATGAGCAGACATTTTCAGTTGGTAGAAATTTTGGTCAAAAGCTCCAACAGGATATGCTATTTTTCTTTCAAAAAGAATTGGTGCTTTTTGTCTTTGGGTTGGGTTTTTTTTTTTTTTTTGCATCTTTAACTTCCCTCCCCGATTTAAAAAACCTCAAGGTTTCATTGTTTTCTCAGAGTACCTTCACACAGTTGTTATCTTGTGTGGCTTGCTGTTATCTGTAGACAAACCACTCCTTAGAAACAGGAAGAGGGAAGTCAATATGTTTAAAGCTATTTTAAAAAACAGGGAGGTAGATGTGGTAAACTGAAGGAGAAAATAAAATGCAGACTTTTCCCAAACAGAGTTACTGGGGAGTGTCTGTCTGCCATGTCTTGCTGGAGTTTGCACGCCTGTGGAAGCTGGGAATCATTCAGCAAACCCAAGACATATGTAGAAAGGCTGTGTTCTCACAACGAAGCCTGAGTCATCTCTCTCACAAAACCATCGCTGAGTGTAACAACATCTGTTCTTGTGTGAATTGCATTTATGAATGGACAAAATCAAGGCTGGCCAGAAACCTTGATTTCCTTCACATCGGAATACTCCTATATGTCTGCATGTGCCTTCTTTCTCTACTGTTTTGGGCTACATCTCCCATCATCCCCAGCCCCATTAGCCTAATGAATGGAGGGCCTCTTCAAGACAGAATTTGCAAGAGGGATAAATAACAGAGGTTTTATTTTCAGAATAATTCATCCAGCCATCCAAATGAATAAAAACAATTTGCACACATGACATGCCTCCCGGCCTCAGTTTATTCCTTCTTTTTCCCTTTCTTCCCCCCCCCCCCCCCCCGCAAAATCTTGGCATTGTTGGTGTCCTTCAATTCCTTCTCTAGAGAAAGGGGGGAGGAAATAATTCCAAAAGGTATCACATATTGGGGGAGGAGAGGCAGGGTTGGGGTGGGAGCCAATTTTTAACAAAGACAACAGGAGAATGTTATTTGGGATTAGATCACGTATAAACTAGAGGAAAGATGAAGGAAATCCTTTTTATATTTTTTTTAACGGTCTCCACCATCCCACATGCAACAGAAACCCCAGGGCTTTTTTCCGGGGCGGGGAGCAAAGGGAGAGAGGCGTTGTTTTACACACTGAGGAGAAGAAAATGGTGAAACGATCTAAAACAGTTGTGAGACATTTTCTTGCCTCTTAGACCTGTAGCTCAGAGGAATCGCCGCTTATCCTCCCAAGTTAAACAGTACTTAGCCCTGCCAACCAAAGTACTTCAAGGCTGCAGCAGACTGCCCGGCCGATCTCATAGGGTCCCAACGCTCGAAAGCGACCATAGAGGTCATCTAGCCCACCCCCACCCGCTCAGGATAGGCTCTACTCAAGCATCTCTGGGAAATGCCGATTTTTCTCGGAAGTAAAGCAGGAATTCCCAAGAAGGGAGCGAGAAAAACAAAACACCGGCCCCCTCAAGTCCACAGCACGTCCCGCCTGGCTATTCAGGGAAACGGTTCTCCATAAGAGGCGAGGCGTTCCGCCTCTTCGCCCGTCATTCCCAGACCTCGAGCAGCGCCTCGCTGCTCTGCAAGCCGCGGCTTCCTCACCTCTCAGCAGGGCAGGAGGAACCGGCTGCAGCCTTCTCCTCGGCCGCCGCCGCCGTCGCTGCGGCAGCAGCGCAGACGTCAGGCGGGCTGACCTTGCGGAGAGATTCCTCAAGCGAGCCCTCCGCGCGAAAGGAGGACCCGCCAGCCGAGCACCAAGGCTGCGAAGCCGCCCCAGCGGGCGCTCCTGAAGGAGTCGGAAGCGGCGGGGTTGGGTTGCTTGAGCGGCCGGGCAGGTGCCTCGTTCGCTCGCCTAGCGTCGGGGCAGGGAGGTGGCTGTTTCCGCTGCCAGCGCTCGGACCGGCTGCTGCTTCGAGCCCGCCTGGCCGCCCTTTGAGCGGCGAGAGCTGAGGGAGCGCACGAGGAGAAAAGGATCGGCGCGTCAGAGGCACGCAGGGCGGGGAGGTCGGGGAGGAACCGAAGAGCTGCCCCAGCGCCGCGCCAGGGAGGTGGAGCCGGCGTGGAGCCCCACCAGCCTTCCCTTATCGGTGGGGAAACAGCGCCGGCTCGGTTCGTCCTTGGGCGCCCTAAAGTAGAGGTAGTCCTCGACTTATGACCTCAATTGAGCCCAACATTTCTGTGGCTAAGTGAAGCAGTTGTTAAGTGAATCTGGCTTCCCCATTTTACGACCTTTCGGGCCACAGTTGCTAAGCGAATCGTGGCAGTTGTTAACTTAGTAACACGGTTGTTAAGTGAATCTGGCTCGCTTCCCCATTGACGTTGCTTGTCAGAAGGTTGCGAGAGAGGATTGCATCACCCTGGGACACTGCAACGGTCATAAAATAGGAGTCGGTTGCCCAGAGTCTGAATTTTGATCACATGAGCATGGGGATGCTGCAGTGTGAAAGTGTGAAAAATGGTCGTAAGTCACTTTTTTCAGTACTGTTGTGACGTTGAATGTCACTGAATGGTTGTAAGTTGAGGGCAACCTATAGTTTGTTCTGTGGTATCTGCAAGTGGAAGCCAAAGAAAGGGTGCCTCTGCCCACATGCAGAATTCTCTGATGTTGTCCCCCCTTCCACGCTCACCTTTGCGTGACTCAGATCTTCCGGGCTTTGATGTGCCTGGAATTAACGGAAAGGTGTTTATTGTATGTAGTTCAGGGTGCTGTTTCCAGAGATTGGATAGGAAACTTGCCTGTTATTTGGCGTAAAGTGTGGAAAACATTGGAGAAAAATAATCATTTTGAGATGAGTTACCAGGGAAAGGCGCCTCTTCCCCCAAGAGGAACAAACACTACAAAATGATTATTATACATATATGAATGCCATCTTTGTTGTGCCAATAAAAACAGGGAATCCCCAAACCAAAAAGGATATATGGTATTCTGAGCACATGGGGGCACTTTTTTAAAATGGCTAGCGACCTTCATGAAATGGCTGCTGTGGGCAGGGAAGGGAAAGTAGCCAGTGACAAAAATACTGATTTTCCAGAATACCTCTTATCACCGCTTCTGTTCCCTACACCTTAGTTTGTGGCTTCTCTGCTTCCAAACTTTGTTACTACACATTTCCTGATCAAAAAAAGAAAAAAGATAAAAACCCACAAAAATCCTAGGTCTGCCCCCAAAAGGAATTTTATGTGTTGTTTTGCAGCCTGCTGACTTCACATTTTTTTCAGGTAAACTATAGGGTTTAGAATTTAGAATAACAGAGTTGGAAGGGACCTTGGAGGTCTTCTAGTCCAACCCCCTGGTCAGGCAGGAAACCCTTTATCACTTCAGACAAATGGTTGTCCGATCTCTTTTTAAAAACTTCCAATGTTGGACCATTCACAACTTCTGGAGGCAAGTTGTTCCACTGATTAATTGTTCTAACTGTCAGGAAATTTCTTCTTAGTTCTAGGTTGCTTCTCTCATTAATTTGTGTGTGTGTGTGAGGGAGAGAGGGAGAGAGGGAGAGAGAGAGAGAGAGAGAGAGAGAGAGAGAGAGAGAAAATCTGGGGAAATGACACTGCATTATTTTGCACCCCTTTTGCACACATATAAATAAGAGGTGAGGCAGAGAGCAATGCTAGGGTGGCTGTTTTGATAAAGTCCCTGGATTCAATGGAAGCTTTTTCTGGTAGGTGCTAAGTGTATGTGAGCATAGGTGTATGGATGCCACACGTATGAAGAGAACAAAGAGGGAGAGTCAAAACCATTATTAATGAAGTACAGAGAGAGCCAATATAAGGAAGCACTACTGTATAATGCAATGTGCAATTAAAGTGGAATTTGGCACCTTTAGATGTATGGATGGGCCTCTAAAACAGGATTGGACTCATTTACATTTACATTTAATACAGATTATTAATTGCTGCTAGTCTTAGTGGCTGTTCACCAGCTTCTGAGTTAAGCTAAGGAGAACACTAGAAGAGGGCCACTATTCCATGAGGACTTTATAATGTTCCTCTATTGCAGTGGTTCTCAACCTGTGGGTCGGGACCCCATTTGGGGTCGAACGACCATTTCACGGGGGTCGCCAAACAACGCAGTCCACCATTTTCTTCCCCTTTTCCTTAACTGTGCTACTCCCTTTTATTCTATTGGCTTTTGAAAGCCAATAGAATAGACTCTCTTGAATAGAGTCTAATTCTATTGGCTTTCAAAAGCCAACAGGAATTGTCCAGACTGTCTTTGCCCTGCTGAGCCCGCCAAAAGTCCTATTCTGCAAATGATGCTGCACCAGTTGAGTAGTCCTCGACTTACGACCGGTTGGGGGTCGCGGCATTAAAAAGGTTGAGAACCACTGCTCTGTTGGGTGAGGTATAGGAAGTCCTTAACTTAACAACCGTTCATTTAGCAACCCTTTGAAGTTACACCAGGGCTGAAAAAAGTTACTTACAGTCCTCACATTTGTGACTGTCAGAGCAGCCCCACGGTTATCTGATCAAAATTTTGGTGATTGGCAATTGGCATGTATTTGTGGTGGTTGCAGTATCCCAGGATATTGCATATGATTGCTATTTGTGACCTTCCCAGCTAGTTTCTGACATTCAGAATCAATGGGGGAAGCCAATTTGTTTAACGACCACATGATTCACTTAATGACCAATGATAAAAATGACAATAAAGGTTATCTTATCATCTTGTCTTGTCTTATCTTACACTGAACTGCAGCTGCAGTGATTTGCATAACAATTGTGTCAAAAGGTTGTACAATCGGGTGCTATTCATTTCACTGCCACCAGAAATTCTAGTCTAGTCACAGTTGTGGTTGTATTATCAGTAAGAGAGGAGATGCTTTCTTAGCACTGTTGTGTTTCTTTTTTCACTGTTCTCCTAACACCCATTTTTCCTCCTCTTAGTTCTTATCAGATAGACACAAGTAACCTGATTTTCATATTTTTAATATCTCTATTTTTTTGAGGTTTGGCAATAGAAGTCCACACCACAAATTAATATAAGGACCTTAGAATATTGAAAGTGATTGAAAGAAACATTTTTGTCATGACCATCATGTGCAGAATTATTATTTTCATTGAGGTCTCTGTTATAACAATTTGCACTCATTTTCATTAACTTCACAGAGCCCAAATCTGATTATTTATCACAGGGGCTGGCTGCACACTCTATGTGTATCCAAAGTCACATGTGCTACAGTGATACATGTGGTACTACTCACAATTGTGTCTATCCGACGAATTTTTCTCATGGCAGACATAATCTTGAACTGAATTCCAGGAGGATTCATATAACATTTTAGGATAAAATATGGTTGACCTAGCCAGGAATAAACCAAAGATGGTGTAGTCTGTTCTCAGACATTTTAAAATCCATTCACATCAGATTTTTTTTTAAATAAATGCCATCTGAGTTTGACATCAGGCAAAGAAAACTATTTCCGAAATGATCAAAATCACCCAAAATTCAAAACTTAGTTGTTCAGTTTTTATGAGCAGATTGCTGAATTACATTAGATATGTATTTCCTGTCTTGTTCCATATTTGGGAATTGAAAAACAGAAATATAAAAAACCCTCCCTTTGAGATCATTAGTCCATAAAGTCCAGTTCCTTCTACACAAATTAGTACTGAATTTTTGGATGTCAACAAGCTGACTTGGGATTCTTTGCATGCAAAGTATGTTCTATGTCATTAAGCTGTAGTCCTTCTGGCATCAATTTTCATTATTATGCCTTTGATTTTTCTAGAAGGAACAGCAATATTAAAACACTTTAAAAGCTATGCATTTCCGGCAGCATTATTTATACAAAGTACCCAAGTTGCTTCTGAGTTTCTTTTCCAGCTTTTAAGGACATTGTCTCAAAATTATGACAATGGAAAGCCTATTGTTAAGCTTGCCATTGGAAATCTTTTTATATCTCAGCAGCATCCATAAACATCCGTTTCTTTTGTTCAGTACAGCCTATTTTAGGAGTTAGCTAACAAAGATGAATCTAATGAAGTAATATTCAAGACAATAATCATTCTGGTTTTTGTCAGAGATACACCTGTAAATTTACTTTTTCTTTATGAGAATATAAAGTTGTGTCCCAGCTTGCAGAACAATTTTAAATTTGGTAATCCAATTAAAGTCCCAACCAAATGGGACACACATATCTTCTATTTAATATTTTTAAATACCAAAAGTAGCCTCAAGAGAGGAGCTATCATACTAACTGACTTGTGTTCCTCTTGAAAATTAGTTAGCCTCCATGTTGTTTTTCATTTACAAGAGAAAATATGGAGATACTTATAATTTCTTCCAGGGCTGGTAGAGCTATAGAAAAGGCAAGGATTGGGGTATGAAGTAGAAATATTGTTAAAAAAATATTGCTACCATTTTTTTTCAGAAGTTCCTTTATTTAATTATTTACTTATTGGCTTGGCTTACAGGCTGTCTCTCTCGACCAATTCCAAACAGCATAACACTCCCTCAAATCTGTACTTTGAATTAAAATGAATACATAATAATAAAAAGCAAAACCAAAATCAGGAATCAAAGACTCCAAAACCTAATTAAAAATAATTATTCATCCAAAGGAATAGTCACAGTAGCTGTAAACTGTGGTAATGTACCCTGGTTTTTACAAACTTTTTGAAGAATACGAGACAAAGAGAAGGGAGCACCCACATTCCCAAAGACAGAAACAACAATTCAAAATGTATGTGCTTGGCTATCTCTGATGAAAACGAGACACACGGAGTCCACTCTCTTAGATCTTAGCAAACAAACAGATGTTATTGAGAGAAGATAGTCCCACAGATATCCAGGCCCTAAACCAGGTCTTAAAAGATGGCAACTACCTTAGCACTTTAAATTGCACCCAGAAGCCATCTGGCAGCTAACTGAAGTAGAGGCGATATATTGGTGCCTTTAAATGTTCCCATAATTACTCAAGCCATGTATTCTGGACCAGCCGTAGCTTCCAGATTGTTTTCACGGGCAGCCAGTTCAGAGCACATTCCCTGAGTACGTTCAGAAGATGACTAAAGAATGAGTATATGAGTAAAGTCTCCCATATCAAGAAAGAGCTTAGTTGGCGCACAAGATGGAGGTTAGCAAAGACAATCTGTTATCTGTGGAGCAGAGCTGTGAGTCCAGGAGGATTCCCAAATTGCAAACCAGTTCTGTTTGGAAAAATGCAGCCTC